GGCTCCGGGCTGGGCCGGCCAGGGGCGGCTCCGGGCGGCGGCGCGGCCGAGCGCTCGGTCCTGCGTCTCCAGCCCGCGGCCTCCGTCCCGACGCCTGCGCCGCGCACTCGGCGTCCCGGCTCGGACCCCGGCGCCCAGCCCGTGGCCGTAACCTTGAGGCGGCGGCGGGGCCGGGCCGGGCCGGGCTGGGGGGCGGCGGCTCTGGATCCGAGGCCGGCCGGCCGCTGGCGGGAGATGTCGAACCCCGGGACGCGTAGGAACGGCTCCAGCATCAAGATCCGCCTGACAGGTAGGCACTACAGGGCCGCGGCCCTCGCGCCCCCAGGCGGTCCCAGGGACCCCGCGGACTCCCGCCCCGCCCCGTCTGCACCGGCCGTTGTCCCGGGACCGCTGCACCCCCCACGGCGTGCGCCCCTAGCTCGCGCTCCCGGCCCCGCCCCCCGGTAGCTCTGCAGGCGCCGCCCCCGCCGCGCTGTCCCCTCCCTTTGCATCAGGCCCCGCCCCCGACACGTTAGGCCCCGCCTTCTCTGCGACAGCCCCGCCCCCTCTGCATCGAACCACGCCCCCGCCGAGCTGCAGACTTGCCCCCTTTCCTTACTAGGTTCCTCTATTGCCTCTTCTACAGACTCCCGCCCCCTTCCTCGTATAGGCTCCACCCCTTGACTACTTAGTAGCCTCGGCGCCCCGCCCCCTGGCTCCTCCCTCTGCATTATTCCCCGCCCTCTGCTCGCTCTGCAGGTCCAGGCAGCTCGCTTGCTTTTTCTGCATCAAGCCTGGCCTGCTGTTCATCCTTCTGTCAGGTTCCACCCCTCTGGCTGATTCTCTCTAGGCCCCGCCTCTGGCTCCTTCTTCTCAGGTCCTACACCCAATCTCCCAACCCCCCTCACTCACCTCTGCCCACACCCACCATCAATTGAGTATGGACCCCGCTTCTCTCTAAGCCCCGCCCCTGGCTCCTCCCTCTTGTTCTCTGTCCCCCTCGCTGTCTCCCCCTACGCCTAACCTTACCCTTCTGCATCAGGTCCCGCCCCTAGTTACTCCTCTCCCGACCCTACCCTGGCTCTCCTTTCTGCCCCACACCTACTCTAAACAGCATCTAGGTCCCGCCCCCTCGGGGGTCCCCTTGTGTCCCCTAGACTCCGCCCCCGGAACCCTTCGACTCACACCTGCCCCTTCCCTGTTCTTCTCCAGGCCTTGTAGCCCTAACTCCTTCAGCCCCACACCTACTTTCAACTTCATGGAGGTCCCGCCCCCTCGCTGCACCTCCTTTTGCTCTTTCCACCTCCACCTCACATTTTCATCATCCATCTCTTCTCCTTCACCACCCTCCTACCTGCTGTCCCCCTTTAGTTTCACCCTTCACTGCCCTCCCACCTGTCCTCTCTCATTCCCTTTTAGCCTCTCATCACTTCCCCTTACTTCTTCCTTCCCTCCCACTTCCCTGACCTGTCCTCTGCCTTCTCACCTCTCCCTCCTAGTACCCTCGGATCAGCCCCCTACTGGTCTGCTTTGCTTCTCTCTGCTGTCCCACCTCCTCACCCGCCACCCCCATCTTCATCTAGCTAGCTCCCCTCTCCCCTCTTGGCGTCGACCCCTTGGCTGCCCCCACCTTAGCCTCGCCCCTTGCGTCTGCATGATCCCGCCCTCACTTATCTTTCAGCCCCGCCCCTCGCTGCTGTCTTAAAGCCTCCACCCTTCGGTTGCAAATTCCTCAAGCCTGTCTGGGACCAAACGTCTGTCTCCCGGTCTTGCTCTCACTTCCCCCGCCTCATCAGTGGTCCAGACCTCTCCAGTCTAGTCCACTTCCGTTCTCCCTGAGGCCAGGCCACTTAGTACTCCAGAGTCTTTGGTTCCTACCTCCTCTGCAATGCCTTCACCGCCACAACCCCCCTCATTTCCACATTCTTGAGTCCCCATTGTGGCGCGATTCCCCCCTCCCACTTATGCTGGGCTGTGACAGTTTCTGCAGTTCAGGCTCCTTGCCCCACTCTGAGTCTTTAGAGGAGTGTTGGAGTTCCCTAGGTGTTGTGTAGCGCCTCCTTCAAAAGTGAGTGTAAAGCTTGCCACGGGTCTGACAGCAACAGGGTGGTTTGCATGCAGAGGCGAGAGGCAAGCTGTCTATCATAGCTAGTCTCCCCTCTCTGTGGGTCCAGAGGCTGGATCACTGTTGTCAGTGTCCTCTTCCCTCCTCCCTTTCCTTTCCCTGCAGACCTTACCAGTTTGAATCCACCCTAAAGCTGGATAGCAAGGTTGGCGTAGGGCCTCGGGGCTTTCCGGCTCAGAAAAGGAAATGCGTTAAGTCTGGGGCCTTGCAGGGATTTCCCTGGATCTTTCTGTTCCAAGAAGTGTGGACTAAAGCGCTCTGCTGGCCTTTCAGACTGAACTTTTGGATAAGGTCTGTGGCCATGGCTGTATCCTTTCCCCACGAGGAAAGTTTGTAGTTGAAATTCATGGCAGTATCCTTTTCCCCACGTGGAAAGTTTGTAGTTGTTGAGTGTTCTGTTTAAGAAAAGACTGATACTTTTTCTCTGAAGATGTCAGATCAGATAATGATATTTGAACCAGAACCCAGACCCTGGTCTTGGTGGGCCATCCTTGCCTCTGGGGAAACAGCAGGTGACTGGAGGAAGCTCACTTGATGATACAGTGCACACATCTCTGTGTTGGCGCCTACTTTTAGGAAGTTAGGTTCTTCAAGAGTCATTCTTGTGAAAGTTTGTTCATTGATACTGGGCTCTGAGTTTAGTTATACTCCAGATGTGTTTTAGCTTTCCTGTTAAAGGAACTGACTTGGGGACTTCAGTAGAAATGAGATCAGTGGCTTAGAAATCTTAATTACAGAGTTTGTGGCAGGTGTCTATTAACAGATCCTAGTTAGCTGGTAAAAAGGAGGCTTTCATGGGTTAATTTTGGTGTTGAAGACTTGGAAGACAGAGTTTTTGGGTGGCCTATGATGGGGAAGGATCAGGGGACGGAATGGATGTTATTAATTCTTGGTTTGAGAGTAGCTGTGAGTGTGATCATAGGATTGCTGGTGGATTGTGTGTTTATGTGATGACAGTTGTGTGAACATCTTGGAATGAGCCATTTTATTAAAGATGAGCTAGGTTTTGCCTTCATCTTTATGCTACAGGAAGTAAGAATGGTTGGGTAGCAATCTCGCTAAAGTTAAATCCTGTTACAAAGTCTCAGCATTTATTTACATGTTTGTATTTGGGGAAGAATGACTTTTTAACAGAGAGCTATTGGCACTGGAGAGAGGGCTCAGTCAGGAAAGTGCTTACCCAGCAAGCATGAGGACTGGAGGTGGAACCCCAGCACCCACTTAAAAGTGGGATGTGGCTAGTTGGGCATGAGACACCTAATTGGGTCCTGGTAAGAGACCCGATCTCAAAAAACAAAAACAAGGTGATAGGTCCTGAGGAACAGCCCCTGAGGTTGACCTCTGGCCTGTGCGAGCGCGCACACACACACACACACACACACACACCTGAATACGTAGAGAGAATTTAAAAAAAAAAGAAAAAAGAGGGCTGTTGTAATGTAGCAGTTAAAAAGCACACAGCGTCACACAGCTCAAAGGTGGGCACTGGAGTGGTTAGCAAGCATGGGAACTTTGGGGTCTGCAGTTCCTGGGCTTTGGGGAACAGAGCCTGTCAAAGCCTGGCGCTTGGATGGGTCAGGCTAGTAAGCTGCATGATGTACAGCCAATTAATTATCTTTCAGGGTCTCAGTTTCCTCATTTTGAACAAGAAAGCCCTGTTCTATACATTTTGATCTATACGCGCACCATCGAATCTTACGTTACTTGTGTGTGTGCTTTCTGTTCTCAACCCTGAGACTCAGAAATTCATGCCAAAAAGTAGCTCTTTTGTTTGATGTGTGTCAAGCCTTAATTTGGTGCATTAATTGCATTTATGCTTTATTTTTATTCCCATGGTCCCCCACCCCCTTTAAATTGTTGGGTAATAAGTCAAAGTGCTTTGGAAAGCTGCTCTGTGCTATAGAGAACAAGTTTCTGTATTGGAATTAATATTATTTTAATGACTGTGGTATTTAGTGTTTCCTGAGGTTTAGAGTCATCAGGGTGTGCAAGATCTAGTAATCTTGTTAGAGAGCATTATCTTGTAGATGTCTTAGCATTCACTGGAGAATACAACCTTTTCAGGAATTTGTCTATCAAATTCAGCAGGAGTTGTGAGAACTGTGCTCTTGTGTGGTCCATAAATGAACCCCACGTGCGCACTCAGGACTTGGGACAAATGGAGTCTGGCCTCTGAGGTGTCCTGGTACTCTTCAGAAAACTTACATTTGTCTCTGACCAGCTCATTCAGGTTCCGAACACCTCAACCTTTTGGGTCTGTTTTTTTCTCTTTTTAAAACATTTTTTTTTCTTTTTAGATGTAGTTATTTTATGTGTATGAGTGTTTTGCCTGTGTGTGTGTATGTGTACCGAGAGCCCTTGAAGGTTGAAAGAGAGTGTGGAATCCCCTGGGACTGGAGTTAACTGTTTTGAGCTGCTATGGGGGTTCTGGGAATCCACCCTGGAGCCTCTGCCAAGAGCAAGTCCCCAAACCACTGGGCCACTCTCCTGTCCTGTTTTTCTACCTTGAACCCACTTGTACCTTTTTATGTTTTCTTGCTTTGTGGAGCCAGGACTGTGTCCTATGAAGAGAAATTGCAGTTGCAGGTAGAGGGAGGAAGGAACTTACTGTCTTGGACCCTCGACCGTTTTTTAAGGTGGTTTAGGTATGCAGCAAGGCCCTGCTGACTTCGAACCGTTGGAGTGATACAAGTTGAAGTGGAATGGCTGTACAAGTCTTGGTTGTCAAAGTTTGGTGGCTGATTCAGAGTAGTTCTTCCAGAGATTCAGAATGCCCTTAAGAAAGAGCAAGGGAACTGTTAGAGGTGTGACCGTCCCTTTCCTCCAGCAGAGAACCAGGGACCAGCATTTTAACTGCTGTAATATGAGAGACAGTCTTACGGCTGGAGAGACCATATGATGTATAGCTGCCACCGGCACATCCAAGTGCCCATTCCTCAGGGTTCTCCTCAAACTTAGGAAAAGTTATGCACACAGGAAGCTTTCATGGACTTTATTTCTATCTGTGTTTTTTTAAAAAAATTTTTTTTTAGATTTATTTATTATTTATACAACTTTCTGCGTGCACACCAGATCTCACTATAGATGGTTATGAGCCATCATGTGGTTGCTGGGAATTGAACTCAGGACCTTTGGAAGAACAGTTGAGTGTTCGTAACCTCTGAGCCATCTCTCCAGCCCTCTCT